CCAAGATCCTGACGAGCCTGAGCACGGCAACGACACCACTCCTGGGTCCACGCCACGAAGCGAACTATGCCGGAGCAGCGCCCATAGCCATAGATCTAGCCGGGACCCGCAATCATGTCGTCTCGCCCAAGCCAGATGCGTCGCCTACACCACACCGCTGCCGAACCACCCCTAGCAACCTAGACCACCAGAGAAGTCCAGCCCACGCCGCTGACGAACAGCCGGACAGAGGGCCGCCCACACCAAATCAGGCAGGCAGATCCACCACCGTCTCCCATAGCACACCCCACCGCCACAGCCTCACGCCCAACCCTCGCGCATCCTGGGGCAAGACACCATGCCATGCCAAGCAGCCTAGGCGCCGCCGCTCGGAACCCCACATGCCGCCGCTGGTCGATCAAATTCTAGAAGTTCACCGGCCATCGTGGAATGCCACCACCACCACGTAGCCACCACATCTAGTCGCCTAGACGCACCACCAGCCCCCTGCATGGGTCGCCGCTGCCATGAGCCTTTTCATCTTTTTGGGATGTCTAGTCCTCTAAATATGTAATAATGGTCCATGAACCTTTGTCCATGGCAATCATGAAAAATTGACAACCTGTCTTTGTGGTGATTTTCTATAGTTATTTCCAATGATAATGATGATCTCAATATCGTCGTAGGTTTTGCAAGCCAATGGAATCTAACAATTGAACTTTTGTTGATGAACAACTTTTTATTCGTTTGTGTTTGTACACTTGGTCATATTATAATTGTTAGCGGTGAAATTGGGAATTTTCTTAAGAAAAATGTACTCAAGCAAACTCAACCCGGTTTGCACATTGTATACCCGACACGGTGTGCTAGTTCCTTGAAAATAACAAGTGCGACCCACTGGTATACATGGATATGAATGCATGTTTATGGAGTCTAGGGATTCAATAATGATGTTCTCGTTCCTTTGCTAGCCACAAGTACTATCATATTTTGAGAACAAGAAAAAGAAAATTACCTGGAGCAAGTTGCAAATCTCACAATCAAATTTTATATGTACAATTCATGGGTAGACGTACTGGAAACAACAACTAGCATTTGATTGAGAATAGAATTGCCACATCAATACTCCGGTCGATCATCTGACAGACCTTTCAGCTTTTAGTAGAAACTTCTGGCCTCGTCCATCAGTCCGCTGGTAGTCAAAGACTGTTTCATGCATTGAATAGGAGAGGTTGCCCTCTGTGTTAGCTCATATGTTTACTTTGTCTTAACAATTTAATAGGCAAAGACAAATTAAACAACACAAATTTCACCATACCCCAGTGTTGGTGATTCTGGTTCCTCATCCTTTTCCGCATGATGTGGTTTGCTGAGTTCCAAACGAACTAGATTTGCACCATCTCAGCAGCAATGCTGCACTGGCTAGAAGAACTTGTAATCGCCCCATTTGCTTCTGGCTGCCCATTTAGCTGAAAAATTGAATTGAACATGCATGACAACTTACAGACATGCAAGGTTTGTGTATTATATAAGGAGTACTCTTCTATACTCCCTTTATCTTATTTTAATTTTGCATGGGTGGTTCTCTTATACCTACGCACCTTGCTTTGCAAATATATATTCTCTTGATGAATGATATTTAGTTCCTTGTGCAGCTCAACATTTTCTTGGTGTACGAGGTTTCCCTGTAGTTAAAAAAGGTTAGGCTAATTGGAAATAAAATGGGCCGCCCTCTGTGATATGGTGGTAGTAGTGTTGCAATGGTGAAATCACAAATTGACCTTCTTATTGAACTCTACAATTTCATCAATCGTAAGTTGGTCCTGGAAAGAACAATATGATTAGTGCCACTACAAAGATGTACGATCATGGTAACGTTAAGCATTACCTTTGCTAGTCGAATGTTATGCAGGCTCGTTTCTAGTTGCTTCTCTAAACCACTTAAGTCTTCCAAACCTAAGCCAGATAAATGTTGTCCCAACAATTGCCTGAAATGGTTTAGCAAATTAGCGCAAATGTGTAATTATTGTTTTTTGAGTATGAATATTACATCTATTAAGGATTTGAGTTTATGATATTTCAAATTATTGCACATGAAAAATCAGTATCCATTTCATTCTTAATTAGTTTTAGAACATCATTCATATAAATTTACTTAGCATACCTATTATTTTCTTGCAAGTTATGTAGTTGCTGCCTCAAACGTTCTCCCTCTGCTTGCCAAAACTATAAATGAACAGTCACATACATATAGAAATACTCAATGTCCTGGAATAATGTATTTATACTATAGAATTTAAAATAAAACAACCGAATGGAGACAAACTATATTGTCGTGGGTTTTGATAAATTATAGGTGAAATAATGAAATAGCTATTCAATTGAATTGCAAAAGCAACATGAACCAATCTTTAAATATGCATATATGTTTCACTAATTGATCAAGTGACTGCGTTAGATATCATTAACATATTATGGTCCTTTGTGTAAGATGTTGGAAATGTTATCTCCTTAGATATCATTGAACAAGTGACGGTGGTCTGTAGAGCAACACATGATATGTTATTGGTTTTATGTATAATTTGTTTTACATCCCACTTTCACAAGAAAGCCTGTACCATTGCTTTGCTCAAGATCGGGCCCATATAGGTACTTCCCCACTCCACCCCCACCCCGACTAGCGCTTGGCTTAGAAGACGATCCTTTAGTAACAAGAGCACTGCCTCCCTTAACTCCGATGTGCCCTAACATCTACAATTTTCTAGTTTGAAAAATCAAAATTTGATTTTCCCGGTTAATTCATATTTGCAACCCATGAAGTTTGATTTCTAACGGTATTGTAAATTCCTTAGCTAATAGTGCACTTTGCGGTAAAAAATAATACTACGCATTATATGAGTGCACCAAAACAATAGATCTTTTTCGAATTATTGGTTATTTTGAAACAAAGTTATAACATAGTAGAATGAAATTGGTCTAGCAACTTTGGGCAGCAGCACGTTACTACCAGCGCCCAGGACAACGTGCCGGCAATGGATAATCACATCAAGTAAAGACATCAAGAATAAGGTGGTTGAGGGCTCATTCTGGCATGAAACTTGATGTTAATCTCCATCTTTGTTGCCATATGAGAAGGTATATTTCTAAAGTTAGGGGGGCATAATTGGATAGCTATGCCACGCATGGTATCCGCATGGCATGAAGGTGGGGTAGTACAAGTATACGAAGGACAGACCCAATGAGCATTGAAGTAGACATAAACCGCATGACTAGCTATCTTATTGAGAAATACTGATCAAAAGTCATACCTTAGCTTGTGCGCTTGCGCTCATGAATTGTTGACCCTCCTTAACCTGTTGGTATATTTCAAGTAGTGATTTCATCCTGTAAACAAGAGATAACATATTATAATATTAAACAAAAGCAAAATCTCTTATCTTACAAATGAGGAAGATATAATTATGCACACTTTGTGAAGTTTTTGTTGAAGAGAGGTACACTTGTGCCAATGCATGCTGACATGATTTTACGGCCATAGTTTCCATGGTTATACAATGGATATGGGGTGCAGTTTTCAATGAATGTGTTGGCATAGTATGTGCATATATTATTTTTCTAAAATGAAAGGGTAACATTTTGATATTATCATATTTGTTGTTTTCGTATTATCAACCTAAATATTATTAAACATATTTACATATTCGTATCTTACATTCAATACAGAGAACCTACATGAGGGTGTTAAAAGTTGGAACAGACAATAGAAAAGGAAAGATGTGTGGACTAGTGCCTTGAGTTTATTTGTCTAATGATCCCTACACAAAAAGGTAGTCAAAAGTACTTGTTAATCTCTCGTAAAAAAGCACTTGTCAATATTATTTGGGGATAAAATGGAGGAAAGGTTGGAGGTTAAGAATTTGTGAGAGCATAAAATAACCACAGAAGTATTTCACAAACTCAGTAGTAGAAATAAGTTGGACAAAGAAAATAATGGGACTCATGTGAATAGTATGTAGATTTATAGAGTTGGAGCGGGAAATAGAAAATATCATTATGTGTTGTATTTTTTATGTCCGGTTTAAAATATACTTCAAAGGAAGATAAGATGGTGTCATTAATTATTTCTGTAGTGGCGCATGCACACTATGAAGTCGAAGTGCGTAAAATACAATGTTTTCTTCAATATGTGATGTTTTGGTTCCTCAACGAATGAGAACTTCTGAGTGCAAATAACACTGTGAAACCACAAGCTTAATTAACTGAGGTTACACATATCAAGAAATACCACCAGACCTGCTTATATCTCATATAAGTGAGGCAAGCGAAATTCCAGCTCATCCTTTTACTATATGGTGACATCTCTCGATCGTCAATATAGAGAAAGGAGACGAGTGGACTTCGCTATGCTCTGCGAAGTAGGAAAGTAAAATATCGCCAAAAAAACTAATTAGGAGCAGTAAGGTAGTAACAAAGTTGAGATTGAGAAAAATACTGATCAAGAATTCAAGATACAAAAAAAGCATCAAGTCTTTTAATTTCATATTCTGTCCTTGAAAACCAAGGTTCTTGGGTGGAATGAAGAAAAGGATTAAATTTGGCTCAAAACATTGGGTCATGGAGACCTAAATTAATATAGGTTACTATTTAACTGTCGCTTGAGATGAGTTTGCAAAATCAGTCTATCTAGCATGTCTGTTCTCTTAAGGCAAAGTTGGCTCCCCGGTTCTAGATTTTTGGCTCAAATTACCAAGCATCCTCAGAAAAAGGAGAGAAATACAGTGGGTATTTGGATCTTGTATTTCTAGGAAGACACATCCAGCCTCATATAGGTCACACACTCGTCAGTAGCAAAGGTTCGAAATTAACTAAGAGGCAATATATAGATCAATAGAACATATGAACTAAAACAAACACACATCTAGCTAGCTGATTAGCCCATAAAGTATTGAAAGTTTGTATAGATATGTAGATAGATAGATAGAGAGACAGACAGAAAGACTGATCTATAAACAGCAGCGTACCCGGAGTTGGAGTTGGAGTAGTCGTAGAGGCGTCCTGTGTTGGAGAAGAGGAGCACCCCTACCTGCGCATCACAGAGCACGCCCAGCTCCCTGGCTTTCTTGAACAGCCCACCCTTCCTCTTGGAGAAGGTCACCTGCCGGCTTGTGGTGTTTTCGATCTTCTCGATCACCGTCTTTCCCCGGACCATGACGTACGACCGGAGATTCAGATGGCAGAGAGCAACCGTGGCCGGCTAACTGGAGATATTTACTACCGGAGAGATGAGGAGTTGGTCACCTGGGTTTCGTTTGGAAAGAAGCACGGGTATACTATGCTAGTACTTGTACCGCACTCCGCCTCAGGTCTCGTCATCCCAGCGAATCGTGAAATGACACGTCGGATCATGCACGGACCAAGGGCCATAGATGGTGCATGTGATCCTGGAATATTGTACGAAGCCTACCCTTTCTTGGCTCAATTTCCTGAGAAAGGCTTGGCAAAGTTAGGTATGGACCGACCCTTTTCCCCTGCTTTCGATCTTCCTGCAACAACTTTGGACTATGGTTGCGGAGGACATATCTGGTGCAGTTCATATCTGCTACTGATTAACCTATAATATACTGGATCGAGCTACCAGGGCGATCGATCCAGGAGAAAATGTCCACTGCTAGCTGTACGGCTGCATATCATCCACTCATGTAATTTATTTCTTTTTTTCTCCGTACATAGATAAGTGCCGCCGATGATCCGTACAGGGAGACAGACTCGTAAGGGCATCTCCAGCCGTTGGCCCCCCCAGTACGCATACAAATCGCCCCCTGGGGGCGAGCCGGCGATACACACGGCACTGGGGGCGGTTTTGCGCCCAGTCGTCGCCCCCAGCTTGCCCCCAGGCGCCGAAATTGGCCCACTTTGCAGCCCAATTTCGGCGAATAAACGGCCCATATGAGCGAGAATAGGCCCATATTCGGCGTGGTTTCGCCATGTCTCGGCGTTCAATTATCAACACAATTATTCCTTATCACATATTTCATCACAGAAAAATCAAATACTTCAACAAAATACTACAACAACAAATAGTTCAATATATAGTTCAACAAATAAAAACTCGTATTTCATCACGCGGCGTCCCCCTTGAGCCTCCATAGGTGCTCAATCAGATCTTTCTGCAGTTGATGATGCACCTGTGGGTCTCGGATCTCCTGACGCATACTGAGATATGCAGTCCAAGTTGCCGGTAGCTGGTGATCAACTTCGGCTAGAGGACCCTGCCTGTAGTATGGTTCAGTGTCAAACACTGGGTCTTCTTGCTCGCTCTCGATGATCATGTTGTGCAAGATGACACAGCAAGTCATGATCTCCCACATTTGATCTTTCGACCTGGTCTGAGCGGGGTACCGAACAACAGCGAATCGAGATTGGAGCACACCAAATGCCCGCTCGACATCCTTCCTGCAAGCCTCCTGAAGCTTCGCAAACCAGGCGTTCTTGCCTCCTGTCACAGGGTTTGAGATCGTCTTCACAAATGTCGACCATCTCGGATAGATGCCGTCAGCTAGATAGTACCCCTTGTTGTATTGGTGCCCATTGATCTCGAAGTTCACCGGAGGAGAATGGCCCTCAACGAGCTTGGCAAAAACAAGAGAGCACTGCAGCACGTTGATGTCATTGTGAGTTCCTGGCATACCAAAGAAGGAGTGCCAAATCCAGAGGTCCTGTGTGGTTACCGCCTCAAGCACCACACTGCAACCGCCTTTGGCTTCTTTGTACATCCCCTGCCAACCAAATGGGCAGTTCTTCCATTTCCAATGCATGCAGTCGATGCTTCCAAACATCCCAGAAATCCTCTTGCTGCATTCTGGGCTAGGATCCGAGCAGTGTCTTCCGCATTGGGTGTTCTCAAGTATTGTGGCCCAAACACTGCCACCACTGCCCGACAGAACTTGTAGAAACACTCTATGCTGGTGGACTCGGCCATGCGCCCATAGTCGTCGAGTGAATCACTGGGAGCTCCATATGCAAGCATCCTCATCGCTGTCGTGCACTTCTCGATGGAGGTGAATCCAAGAGCGCCAGTGCAATCCATCTTGCACTTGAAGTAGTTGTCGAACTCCCGAATGGAATTCACAATCCTGAGGAAGAGCTTTCGGCTCATCCGATAACGGCGCCGAAATGTTCTCTCGCCATGAAGTGGAGCATCGGCGAAGTAGTCGGAGTAGAGCATGCAGTAGCCTTGCAGATGATGCCGGTTCTTTGCTTTCACCCGCCCCGGCGCCGAGCCACCTCGACGCGGCTTTTCATTGCTCGCCAGCAGCTGGGCGAGGGCGGCGAGCACCATCAGATGCTCTTCTTCCTGGACGTCGGCCGCGGCTTCCTCCTCCAGCAGCGCGGCGAGCTCTTCCTCCTCATCCGAGTCCATCGCCGAGACAGTCAAAACGCCGAACACCTTGCGCTCGGTGGGCGTGTACCCG